TTCCTCAAAAAATCAAGGATAGAACTACCATATGATCCAGCTATTCCACTGCTGGCTATTTATTCAAAGAACTTGAAAACACCAGCGCATAAAGATACATGCACCCCTGTGTTCATTGCAGCGTTATTCACAATAGCTAAGACCTGGAAGCAATCTAAGTGCCCATGAAGGGACGAATGGATAAAGAAGATGTGGTATATACACACAGTGGAATACTACTCAGCCATAAGAAATGATGAAATCCAGCCATTTGTGACAACATGGGTGGACATTGAGGGCATTATGCAAAGTGACATAAGTCAGAGGGAGAAGGTCAAATACCGTATGATTTCCTTCAATAAGTAGTAGATAATGACAACAATAAACAAACATATAGAGACAGAGATTGGATTGGTGGTTATAAGAGGCGAAGAGGGGAGGGAGGAGGGCAAAAGGGATAATTTGGCACATGTGTGTGGTGATGGGTTGTAATTAGTATTTGGTTGGTGAACATGATGTAATCTATGCAGAAATAGAAGTATAATGATGTACACCTGAAATTTATACAATGTTATAAACCAATGTTACTGCAATAAACAAAAAATTTTAAAAAAATAAAAAATAAAAAGAAGTTGCTCCATCATAATAATAGTTTAGTCTAAAACTAGTGAATGAAAGTTTGACGAATAAAAGATATTTATGTAGTCTCCTATAAATAGTATCTCTCCACATGATACTTATTACAATGGGAAAAATATTAACTTAATAATGGAGAAACCTGGTAGATACCACCTTAACCAGTTGATCAAAGTTAACATCACAGTAATGGTACAAACTAACATCATGAGCCTCCTGATATAATGCACTGAGAAGAATACAGCAGCATCATTTCTGTAGTATTCCTACCAAAATGCATTTCCTGAATCTAATCATAAGGTAACATCAGATAGACTGAGAAGCACTCTACAAAATCACTGGTCTGTACTCTTCAAAATGGTGAATATCATGAAAGACAAAGGAAAAAAGTGAGAATTAAAGGAGATTAAATGCACATGAAATCTGTATGTAATGCATAATCCTGGATTTTTTTCCCCCCATAAACGGCATTACTGGGACAATTGGCAAAATCTGAATAAGGTCTGCTGATTAGATAATAGTATTGTGTCAATATTCCATTTTTATGATTTTTGCAATTGTACTGTGCTTACATGAGATAATTTCCTTTCTTAAGGAAGTATACATTGAAGTATTTAGGGGTAAAGGAGCATCACATATGCAACTTACTCTCAAATGATTTTTTTAAATCATATATAGAACATGTTCATATGTAGAACATATTTATAGCAGCATTATTCACAATTTCCAAAAGATGGAAGCTACTCAAGTGTGTCCATTGATGAATGAATGGATAAACAAAATGTGGTATATACATACAATGGAATATTATTCAACCTTAAAAAGGAAGGAAATTCTGACACCTGCTACAACATGGATGAACCTTGAAGATATTATGCTAAGTGAAATAAGACAGTAACAAAAGGACAAATATTGTATGATTCCCCTTATATAAGATGCCTAGAGTAGTCAAATTCATGGAGACAGAATATAGAATGGTGGGTGCAGGGGGCTAGAGGAGGGAGGAATGGAGAATTATTGTTTAATGCGTATGGAGTTTCAGTTTGGGAGGATGAAAAAGTTCTGGAGATAGTTGGTGGTGACGGTTGTACAACAATGTGAATGTACTTAATATCACTGAACTGTACACTTAAAAATGGTTAAATGGTAAATTTTGTGTTATTTGTGTATTTTACTACAATTTGAGAAAATCATATAGAGAGAGACAATAAAGGAAAAGTAGAAAAATGAACAGTTATCATCTCAAGATATAGATGAAGAATGGAGGCAGAGAGACCCATTAAAAGGCTGTTGTAATAATCCACTGTAGTGGTGAAGACAGAGAAAAAGATGCATCTGAGAATGTTTTAAGTGGTACAATATAGAGACTAATAGTATAATATTTTAGACTCCTCCATCACATTCAGCTTCTGGTAGATGGTGGTACTGTTAACCAAAATATGATAGATATGAGTAGATGCACAGGCTGCTGTCTTTGTCTGAGTCTTTACCTAAACCTCATTTACCCTTCATAACTTGGCTCAAATGTGACTTCCTTTGAGAAGTCCTCCCTGACTCTTTATACAGTCTTTCCCTTTTCCCCTTACCTCTTACCATTTCCTGGACTGAACTTAGTCTTTCTCTCCTCCTAGGTGTTGTGATAACATCTTTTGCATTGGTGTCACAATGTGTCAAAATAGATGGTTTATTTCTTCCATACATTGAGCCCCTTGAGAACAGAAACAGTTACTATATTTTTGAATCCATGGCACCCTTCATAGTGTGTGCTCAGTAAATGTTAACTTACTAATTATCAAGTACTTAGACTATTTTCCTTTATAATGTTTTGTATTTGCCTCTTTCTTTCCAGGCCCCCAAAATTCATACCCTATTTCAGTAGTCTTATAACTAGTCTTTCTACTTCTAGTCTGTAGTTTCTCTGTAGTAGCCTGTACATTGATGCCAGATTGATGAAATTCCCTATTTTGGAGTGCCTTCATAAAAATCTTCAGTATCTTCATACTATCTAAATAATAAAGTCCAAATTCACCAGTAAGTAATTGAGACCTTCCACACTATGCTCTCAGAATTTACCATGTTTATTTCAAATTCTACTTACCTATCTGCTTAACTTGATTCAACAAGTATTTGGGGACCTGCCTTTTGCAAGGCTTTGTGAAGGAAGGAAGTTTATTAAATATGATATATGTTCATTATATTTGTGTTTATTTTTTCGTCCCTTGTTTCCTTTTACTATTTCATTTCATCTTAAGGGAAAATAATCTTTGGATAACACTCAGCCATACTCATATTTAAGTAAGTTTCGTTTTAGGACAAGGCATGAGTAATATGATGAAGTTTAGAATAGGTGGCAAGCCATCCAGCACAATATCTGGCTCATAATAAAAGTTCAATGAATGTCTAAACTGAATTAATTCTGTTTAAAATTTTAAAGGTAGAAATTTAAGAAATCCAGCAATTCTACTTCTGGGTATTTATCTGAAGAAAATAAAAACACTAACTCAAAAAGATATATGCACACCCGTGTTCATTGCAGCATTATTTACAATAGCCAAGATATGGAAACAAATGTCCATCAGTGGATGAATGGTTAAAGAAAATGTATGTATATATAAATATACAATGGAATATTATTCAGCCATAAAAAGGAAGGAAATCTTGCCATTTGCAACAACATGGATGGACCTTGAGGGCATTATGCTAAGTGAAATAAATCAGAGAAAGACAAATACTGTATGATCTCACTTACAGTGGAATCTTGAAAAAAAAAAAAAGAAACATAGATACAGAGAACAGATTGGTTGTTGCCAGGGGGTGGGGGTTGGGGGGGTGGGTGAAATGGGTAAAGGTGGCTAAAAGATACAAACTTCCAGCTATAAAATAAGTGAGTCATGGGATGTAATGTATGGCATGGTAACTATAGTTAATAACACTATTGTATATTTGAAAGCTGCTAAGAGAATAAATCTTAAAAGTTCTCATCACAAGAAAAAAATTATAACTATGTATGGGAGTGGACGTTAACTGGACTTATTGTGATCATGTTTCAATATATGCAAATATCAAATCATTATGTAGTACACCTGAAACTAATATAATGTTGTATGTCAATTATATCTCAATTTTTAAAAAAGACTATAACAAAGATAGTTATTAATTTATTGTTTTAAGCCTTTGGTAACTTGGCTATTTTGCTTCATGGTAGTGCAGCTGTTAACATTTGAACTTTACTTGCTATCTGTTATTATTGGGAGTGGTATCACTTTGAAACACAAAGTCAAAACAAATTTAAGAATATTATATTACATGTTTTCAAAACTTTCTTTTTATACTCTCCCTATAGGTTATATGTAAAGTCAGATGTGCCACTGAACTTGACAAACACAAGTAAGTTTCATGAGTAGCAAGATCTACATTTTTTTCACAGTAGGCTTCTCGAGGTAGTAGGGTGTGGTAGTTGAGGATGCCTTAGCAGTTTGTATAGAAAATCAAGTAGTTGGATTAGTTCATAGGAAGTGAGTTGAATAACCCAGTCTCCCCCTTCAGCCATATTGCCGCCTATGACCTTTTTTTTTTTTTTTGCAGCTCTGCCACTTGTCCCACTTCAGGTGTTAGATGTAGTTTCGTATAGTCCACAAATAATAAAGTTAGATTATGCTGTTTGGGGTGAGAATGTGTAGTATAGTTCCATGAAGTAAGTAATGTTTCAGTACTGATTAACCTCAATAATGAGAGTGCCAAGCTGGCAAGTCAGGAGGCTTGGGTTTCAGACCAGTTTTCCCTCTAACTTGCCAACTATGCAACTCATTTACCCTGTCTGTACTTTGATTTCCTAAACTAGTATAATCCCATGGATATATGAATAATTTCAAGGTCTATTTTGGACTTCAAACTGTATAATTATTTTTATTATTTAATCTGAGAGAATAAGATCTAAATTTTTCAAACTAAAATCTTGGTGCTTTGCATGTACACTTGACAAAGATTGCTTGTTACAGATTACTTTACACATTATCTTCAGTTTACCTTGTGTAAAACATTTCTAAAGGTAGACAACACTATGATTCCCACTGTTGAAAGTGACCTAAAATAGAAGATATTAGCATGCAGATAGATTTCTGGAACACATTAACTTGGGATATAAATGTATTTGAACTGGGATAGCTGTTATAGCTACTTGATACAGATAGCCACACCTTACCTGAAGTAAGAGTTGTTACAAGGTGGTCTAACTTTTCTTGGGGGGAAGTAGTTAAGCATTTCATTTTCAGAGTTGCTCTCTATGCATAGTAAATATGCAACTTTATAAGAAGATGAGGTATTGATGAGTGCTTGAAACTCTACATATACTGTCCCTGTTGGTTCTTTAGTCATGTTTGAAAGTAATGTTTGCTATAGATAATCGGACATTCATAAGATTGAACATTATTTAAAACACCTTTCCCTTACCTCTTAAATTTAATAATTAGTGATCTATTTAAACTTAGATACAGTCTATTAATCTTCCAGGCAAATTATAAAAGCCTGGTAATTCTTGAACTGGAAAAGTCAGTAAAATATGCTTACTAGTTATAAAAATGAAAAACTCAGGATTACTTGAAATAGTGTTAAAATAGTCCTATATTATTCTTCCTGGTAGAGGCAACTGAATTGAAGTCCACATGAGATTATTTTAAAATCAATGCTTTAAAATATCATGCTGTTTTAAAATGGTTTAGATCCTAATGTCATAACAGCAAAAATAGGCCAAGTAACTCTGAGTGATCGTTAAATTTGTATTTAATGAAATTACAAACATTTTAAGCTGAAGGAATTGTTGTACCTAAAGTAACATACTAATTCAGAATCAAATTTAATTTCTCAGTTTTATAAACACCTAATAAACTCATTTTTTTCTTTCAGAATTCTACTGCATTTGGGCTTTATATTGGCAAGCCTTCTCTTTTTAGCGGTGAACTTGACTTGTGCAATGCTAGTCCATGGAGATGTCCCAGAAAATCAGTTGAAATGGACTGTGTTTGTTCGGGCATTAATTAATGATAGCCTATTTATTCTTTGTGCTGTATCTTTAGTTAGTTACATGTGCAGAGTTACAAAAATGTCATCAGCAAATGTCTACCTCGAATCAAAGGTAAGTATATTGCTTATAATTTTATTTATTTATTTATTTTTCCCCAAAGCCCCAGTAGATAGTTGTATGTCATAGTTGCACATCCTTCTAGTTGCTGTATGTGGGACGCAGCCTCAGCATGGCCGGAGAAGCGGTGCGCCGGTGCTCACCCAGGATCCGAACCCGGGCCGCCAGTAGCGGAGCGTGCGCACTTAACTGCTAAGCCATGGGGCTGGCCCCCTAGCAATTTTCTAAATTCGGTTTTACTTGCTTTGAAATAGATAACTCGCTGAATATAGTAAAGTTGCCAATCTGAGAAGAAAAGTTCATCTGATAACTCCTCCAGAATTATTTCAAACATCTTCCCCTAACTATCATATGAAAGTTATTCACTTTTTTTTTTTATAATTTTATTTATTTATTTTTTCCCCCAAAGCCCCAGTAGATAGTTGTAGGTCATAGTTGCACATCCTTCTAGTTGCTGTATGTGGGACGCGGCCTCAGCGTGGCCGGCGAAGCGGTGAGTTGGTGCGCGCCCTGGATCCGAACCCCGGGCCGCCAGCAGCGGAGCGCGTGCACTTAACCGCTAAGCCACAGGGCCGGCCCGAAAGTTATTCACTTTTTTCTTATTATTTTAAAAATATTAAATTTAAAAGCTGCGTGGATTCAGAATTCTCTAGGAACGCTACAGAGAGACATGTTCAAATACATACGTATAAAGATAAAATATCATATGAGATACTACATTATTTGTATTGTATTGTACTCTTATGTAGTTCTTGATCTTTCTAACTAGGTTATAAACTTTTTTATTCAAACAGCACGTCATCTTGCTTTCATGTTCTTGTAAAATCACTAGGCTCATTTTTATTTTTGAACTCTATGACAATATACCGTGATGGCCATTTCTTTTATTCAATCAACAAATGTCTGTTGAGCATCTACCTCCTCCACTTTTGAACTGACTGTTTCTTGCTATCCCTAGAGCATTTCCTTAAAGCTCAGACTTTGATCCTCTGTTTTGTCTTTTTATGCTTCCTTCCTTCTTCCACATATCATGTGATAATGAGATCCTCCGTAATTTGTCTCAACGAAATCTTACCTACCTGATTTCTGCGTGGCCCACAGTGTGCTTTCCTGGCTCTCCGTCCTTAGCCTGTTTCATCTTCCAGGAACGCTTTCCCCTCCCACTGCATATACCTGCTTGTCCATATCTTACCCAACTTGAAAGACAGGACTCTAATGTTTCCCCTTTTTATCAACTGAATTTGGTCCCTTCTCTTCCATCTCCAAAATAAAATTTAGAAATAACTGTGTCCGATTCTCTAAAAATTTTATTTGTTCCTGTCAGGGCACATATCAGTTTATACTGTGTAGCATTTGTGTGTACTAATTTTTCTGACTAATTTCTGAGATCTTAGAAGGCAGACCCATTTATTATTCATATCTCCCTTGGTGCCTCACACTTGAGGGTCAATTAATTTTATTTGAATGATGACCTAGAGATTTTTATTTCTATCCTGTTAGGTACCTCATTTTGGATTTTTGGATATTTTCTACCTCGTTTTGGGTATTTTCTCCAGCCTACCTACCTCATTCTCTTCCCACCCACGACCTGCACCTCTGTCTCTCTACCTTGGTCATTGTCATTGTTCTCCCATTGATTCAGACTCTAATTTGGAATACTCTGATTGTTTCTTCATTCTTTGTTTCCTAACACTAACTCCTGTCAACTTTTTCACTTAAAAAATTTCTTCTATCTATTTTTTTCTGTTTGAGCAACTTGACAGGAAAAGAAACCTAATGAGTATAACTATTGGTATCTACTATGCACCAGGCACTGTTCTAGTTGCTATTCACATTATCTCATAATTCTATGAGGTGGTCTTATCCCTATTTTGGAAAAGAAGCAGGGTTGGGGGGATGCTTAAGAGGCAGAGGAAGTATGGCTTAGAAGCTCTTGTGTGACCTGGCCCTGCCTAGCTTTCTGACCTCACCTCCCACCACTCTCCTCTTCGCTGTTGCTGTCACGTGGACCTTTCCCCCAGTTCATCACCACAGAACACATACCAAGTTCATTCCAGCCATAGCCTTTATATATGTTGTTCCTTCTGCCTAAATTGTACTTCCTACAGATATGCATGTGATGGTTTCTTTGCATTCAGGCCTCAGCTCAGATGTCACTTTTTCAAAGCTGCCTTTCCTGACCACCCAACTAAGGTTATCTCCCCATTCTGATTACCATATCCATCACCTTCTTTTATTATCCTCGTAGCATTCATCAGTAGCCAAAATTATTTGTTCATTTGTTTGCATACTTATTTTCGCTTCTGCCTCCTCAAGTGTAAACTCTGAAAGAAGTTCCTTCATCTGTGTTGTTCATTTTTCTATCCCTTTTGTCTAAAATAATGCCTGGCATATGCTAGGTGTTCAATAATTATTTGTTGAATAGATACATTTCCATGTTTGTGTACAGTCTTTGCCAGAGCAGCTTTACCCTAGTAACCAAATGAACTTTCACAACCCGGTTATGTCAAGAGCAAATTTAATCAATACAAATGCCCAAGGTCACATAGTTGAACTAGGATTCAAACTCAAGACTGACCACAGGTCTCTGCTAGTAATCATTGTTCTTTATAACCATGCACTGACTCCATTTACATCGCCCTGTATTTACTTACACAGTCATGCCCCACTTAACGACATTTTGGTCAACAATGGACCGAATATATGACAGTGGCCTCATAAGATTAGTACCATACAGCCTATGTGTGTAGTGGGCTATACCATCTATGTTTGTGTTAGTACACTCTGTGATGTTCACAAAACAACAAAATCACCTAAGGACGCATTTCTCAGACGTATCCCTGTTGTTAAGTGATGCATGACTGTAATCTTTTAGGTACATATTTTTAAGTAGTTGTAATTTGCATGAGTATGATTGTATGCTTATTAATAACATTATTCTACATATATTCTTACTAGATTTTGTCATACTACTCTCCAAAAGAATAAACCATTTTATAATGCTATCATCAGTGTAAAACTGTACCTCATTTCCTCTGCTCCATCAGTATTTGAGTTCAAATTTTATTTTGTTATTTTCATTAATATTTGCCTCAAACGTTTTAATTTAAATTTAATTGATATGCATGTATGTTTTCATGTAGAGATTTACTATCTACATTTCTGTATGCGTAAAATATTTCTCAATGATTTATAGAGCAGAATCTGAGTATTCATTCTTTATATATTTGGCATATATGTTTTCTGTTTATTTTGAAATATGTTACCTCTATTAAGAATGATAGCCTTCATAAGTTTTGTGTGTGTTTAGTAAAGAATAGATGTTTAATATTATTAAATCCTTCTCAGCAACTATTCACATTGCTACAATTTTGTTTTTCTTTTTATCCTACAAATATAGTAAATTATTTGACTAGATTTCCATATGTTCCTTGAATTTTTGAGGTAAACTCTTTATTTTATCATTTCCTTTAATGTTTTGTATTTCAGTTATTATGATATTATTTAAAATTTTGTTAAACCTAGACTTGAAGTAAAATTAACCAATCTTTTTTTCTTTTTTTTTTTTGGATGTCCTTGTCAGGTTTTAGAATATAAGCATGTTTATCTCGTAAACTGACATAGGTAACACAAACTGTGTAATACAAAATAGTGATAACTCAACCTCTAAAGTCATATTGCCTGTTTAAATCAGAGCTCTGCCATTTATTAACTCGATGACTTGAACCTTTCTGTCCATCTTTAAACTGGAGAAAATTATAGTAACTATCTCCATAGTAGTGTTGCAAGGATAAAATGATAATGTGTGGAAAGCTGTAGTATACTGGCTGGCACTAAAAATAAATGTTAGTTGCTAATATCTTTATCATCATATTTTGACATGGGCTTGTTCCTATAAAATATATATATAATAGGCTGTTCTTAGAAAATTTGAACAAGTTCTTCCATTATCCATTTGGCGGAAGATTGTTGTTAAATTTCCTTGGTTTTGTTTTACTTTCCCCATTAACTGATTTTATTTCCATTAGAATTGCTGTTTTATAGGCAGTTAACCATATTAATCTTATTATAAAAATTTTTTTCTGATTGTTAAAACTTGGCAATATGAAAGAATACGATTTAAATTTTTTTTAAAAACCAGTAATGTCATCACTTACACTTACCTGTATTTGGAACTCAATATAAATATACTGTTATATCCTGCTTTTCCCCTTTTATTAGTAAAGCATTTTCTCATGCTGTTAAAAACTCTTTTCAAGGCTGCACAACATTTCATCATATGCCAAAATTTAACTGTTGTCTTACTGATAGACCATTAAGTAGTGTTCACAAAGACTCTCAGCTTCCATAATGTTAATTTTCTTCAAAATCAGTTTTGTTTTGGGCCGCCTGGTGGCATAGTGGTTAAGTTCGTGCACTCTGCTTTGGGGCCCGGGCTTCGCAGGTTTGGATCCCAGGCACAGACCTACACACTGCTCATCAAGCCATGCTGTGGCAGGCATCCCACACATAAAATAGAGGAAGGTGGGCATGGATGTTAGCCCAGGGCCAATCTTCCTCAGCAAAAAAAAAAAAAAAATCAGTTTTATTTTTTGCTTTTTTTTTTTTTTAAGTAAGCATGAGTTAGGGGTTTTTTTAGTAATTACATCTAGAACTGTCTACCCCAGTCTCAGTTTACAGAGCACTTAAGTATCTTTTATGTTATCTTTTTCATTACTTATTTTTTTTCAATTTAGATTTTATTCTTTTAGCAACTAGAACAGTGCTGTAATTTGGCTCTCTTTTTCAAAGTAGCAACTCTTACTTTTTAAATATTAGAATTGTTAATTTGAATAGTTTATTTCTGCTCTTTCATTTTTTGATTTTCTTACATATTTAAGGTTCTTACTTTGTTCCATGTTTAGATAAGTATAGATAATTTATTATTTTGTAAACTAATAAAGGCATTTAGAGCAATATGGTTTCTCAAGGACTGCTTTGGCAGCTTTCCATAA